GGTGTTAATGTTAAGTTATGGTGTATATTTGATACTGATTGATTTTTTTTTGCTTTGAAGGATTCGTATTTTGGATTGTTACACTGATCCACTAGGCTGGTTTGATCAACCTTCAAGTGGTTCTACTCAAGGTTCAAGTTTAATCAAGTTACACAAGTGTGTGAGTGACTTGAAAAGGATTTTTTCTTCCATCATTGAAGCGGGAAGAGGTAGTTCTTTTACATTGGATCTCTTTTCAATTCTAAAGTAGTATATGAGAGTGATTAAAGGTGATTACTTTGCTGCAGAATTGGTTGGAGACGGGAAAACACGGTTCTGCGTTGCCATAGATTCGGTAAGCAAACTTTCATGTTTTGAGATTTAGTAGACATCAAGTATCGAATCGAGAAGTGCTTTTTTTTTAAATATTTAAACTTTGAATCAGGTCAATGAGCTGCTAAGAAATTCATCAATGCCATTAGTTTCTGGTCTTCTAACAGATCTTCGAAGCCATGGTATGGTAGCATTTGCATTCTTTGCAAGTGAACCTGTGCACTATTTGTTGTATTTCTTACAAGGCTTAATAACAAAGGTTGAATTTTGTCGGTGCAGCACAAGTTTCCGGTTTATTTTGGTCATTAAACACTGACCTTCACCAAGAGAAGGTTACAAATGCGCTTGAATATGTATCCACTATGAAAGCCAACTTAGAACCTTTATGTCCATCTTCAGATGGGAAAAGGAATGCTTTAGAAAGCCTCTTCTCTGTTCATCAGGATTTCGGTAAAGGACGGTTCCATGTCAGGTTTAAGCTTAGAAAGGGACGTGTCAGAGTAATGGTGAGTTCTCTCTCACTCTTTTCTCTGTACACTATGAAATCATCTCTTTAGGCGTACTGTTTTAACACTGTTGTTACTCTTTTTACCTACAGTCTGAAGAATATCATGTTGATCAAATGGGAATAAACTTTTCACCCATTTCCTCAGCGGATACTGTTATTGCCACCACTAAAAGCCTTTTGCCTAAGGCAAGTTATCCTGTATTGCTTTTTAATTTCTGGTTTGTGACTCTTCCGATGTGATCTCTTGTTGTTATATGGCCTCAGATTATTGTTTGTTTGGTTTTAGGTTCAATTCAATCTACAGTTGTCTGAGAAAGAACGAGTCGATAAAGAAAAAGTTGTACTTCCTTTTGAGCACCAAGGTGAGTTGTTCATCACATTTTGTGTAAAGCCAGACAATTTAAGCTCGTTAACGTCTTAGATTGTTGATAAACATGTTATGTTCTTCAGGTAATGGAAAATCGATAGATATCTATGATGGGCGGAGATCTCTTCTTGATGGCAAGATTGATGCAGCACCATTGTCTTCAGGGGAATTTCAGACCGATGTGGTTTCATCGGGTAAAGGTGGGGAGATTATATATTTCAGAGACTCGGACGATGAGAATCCAGATTCTGATGAGGATCCTGATGATGATTTGGACATTTAAGGTTCTACAAACAATACATCTAAAACTTGAAGACAAACTCTTCTCATTGTGTTTAATTGAAAGAGACTTGACAGCAAAATGATGTTTCATACGTCCAAGTAAAAACTTATTAACCAGCAAATCCAAAATCTATCACCAAAAGAGCAAAATTCGAGATCATTTCGACTTCTTTCCTTGCTTCTTCTTAACGACTTCGTCGATGTACATAATGCCTTTGCCCTTATAAACTTCAGGAGGTTTGCAACTCCGGACAGTTGCAGCAAACTGATGCACCCTATGCTTGTCGATTCCGGTGCAACAAACCACATTGTTCTTGAAACAGAACACTCGAACTGCCGGAGGAACTGCGAGTTCCACTTCGTGACTGTAACCCAACTTGAGGTATAAGAAACGCCCTGCTTCCTCAGCTCTCGCTTTGTATCCAACTCCAACAATCTTCAAGAACCGAAAGAACTTTGCTTCCATTTCTCTCTTTTTCCTACACAAATCAGCCTCCATATTTAAGCTTTTATACGTTCGAATCATCAAACAACAAAACCTGATTCGTATCTCAATAAAATCGATCTAAGTTTCAACATACCAAATCGAAGGGAAATGAAGAACTAACCTGGGTTTTGAGTCCTATCAAATCTTTCTCACTTAGTTCTTCTTCGTATCTTCTTCAATCTAAGCCTCTTTAATTCGAATTAGGTTTGGGTTTTTTTTCGTGTGGTCTATTAAAAATGACAAGGGTGTTTTAGTAAATATCTCTTCTTCTTCCCCCCCACCCCCACCCCCTAAAACGCAGCGTTTTGAAGTTTCCTACAATGAAGCTGGTTTTTGTGCGTGTTAATGGCTCTAAACAAACATTAATATTTGAATTTATGAATTGTGCAATGTACATTTTAGTATTAATTCTCTTCACAATTCTCATAGTGGTACAGAACATCGATTTGATTCATTTGCTTACACACTTATTTGTATTACTTTGTAATCAATCTCTCAAAAAAACTTTGACTATGACTGTTCAAATTAAATCTCGCTTAATAATTTGTAATCAATCCATAACATAGCAACAACAACAACCAAAAAACACTAATCCACAAAATAATGATGAACAAATCTAGAAGGAGTGCAAAGTGGTGATTTTGACAAAACGCAAAACCTGTTCAAAGAGACTCTGTTTTCTCTTGTTACTAGTTAGGGATAGGCTCCAAGTTCATTCCTTGGAGATTAAGCAAAAGATCGCTCGAGCTGAGGAAAACCTTGTTTGCCGATCTAGCTATGGTCTGAGAAATCTCTCTTGCAGCTTCGATCTTTCTCAGAGTGATAAACGCTTCATTGTCCGCAATCGCTTGTCCTATGAGTTGAGCACTCTTAGCTTCTCCCTGTAAATCGCAACAAAGGTAGGTTACTTTTAACAAAACTTAAAACCACAAAAGAAGCCTAAAATATGATTTTAGGTAGACTCACCTCGGCGCGGATAACAGCACTTTTCTTGTCTTGCTCGGCCTTTTCGACAACAAACTTAGCACGTTCTGCCTCTTGAGCCGCGACTTGTTTCGACTCGATTGCATCTGTGAATTCTTTGCTAAATGATAGACTTGTGATTGAGACATCATCTAGAGCAATGTCGAAATTTGATGCTCTCTCTGTCAGAATCTTGCGTATTTCCCTGCTCACAGCCTGTAAGAGAGAGAGAGTTAAAACCAAACAAACAAAACACAAGCAAGAGCACAAAAATGTTGCAATTAAGAACATTAGAGTTAGATGCTAACTTCTCTCTGTGTAAGGAGCTGACTTGCATTGTACTGAGCCACCACTGCTTTCAAGGTTTCATTGATGATTGAAGGAAGAACCCGTGTTACGTAATCCTCACCGAGTGTCCTGTAAATATGAGGCAAGCGGTCTCCCATAGGACGCGTAAGAACGCTAAGTCCAATTTTNACCTGTGTACAATAGCAAGTTAGCAACCAAGTATCAGAAATAGATTTTGTTGGTCCGACAGTATTAATTTATAGAGTTTTAGCGGTATAAGGTATGCATACCACATAACAAAAGATGGTCTGCATATATTCTTATTCAAAACTAAATCAGGGAAAAAAGTATTGCAAACCTTTTGAAGATCATGACTTCCAGTGTCGGTATCCACTTCGTAAGGTCGTGCTCGAACATCGTAGATAATTGGCCTTTCGAACCATGGTAACATAAAATGTGTACCCTCTGGATAAATCTGGTAATAAAAAAAAAAAACGTAGAAATTACACAATTTGTTTCGGAGAATCAGTAAGATTGAGCGATACAAGTGCATAATTATGAACTCAATAAAACAATACAAACCTTCTCTTTGATACCGTCTTTTCGGTTAAACACGATGGCTCGGTGTCCTCCATCGACATTGTAGATGGAATTAGCAACGGTAGAAACTCCAAGACAACCAATAACACCCACCGTAAGCAGTTTAGAGAATCCAGGTGATCCAGGAGTGTTTAGAATTTTTATGATATTCATTATCTAAAGACAAATAATCAACACAAGAATTGTTAATTTTTCATATCAAAAAGTAAAACTTGTGTAATTTCTGAAAACCCTTTTATGGTTTTCTCTAAATCTTCAATGTTTTCAGTATCTTTATTTTCAAAACAAGCAAACAACACATGACCTAGCAATCTAAATCCATGTAGAATCAAAGTCAATTTTTTTTGTCATAGAGTCCGAGCTAGTTAACCATAATCAATCATAAATCAGACCATTAGGAGTCTTAACTCATACCGTATATCATCTTATGATTAATCAAATCAAATTGTGGTCTAACGAAGAATCAAAGTCCAAAATTTAGGCAAGACCATGGGATAAAAAGGAGAAGAGTCAAAGATTTTATAGCTTATAAACGCTCGTTTTTTCTAAAAAATATGTCTCAACGAATTTACGAAACATGATCATTCTAAAATCCAGGATTCACGTAAAACCTAATAAGAAAATTAGTAGAGAGAGAGAGAGACGCACCTAATTCTTGAAGCTCTTAATCGCTCGGCGAAGTCAAAGGGTTTAAGGAAATTTCAGAGACTGAAACAACCGGGAAGCAGCTTCGGCTTTTATATAGGGTCTATATTGGGCCCCAAAAGGCGGGTTATTAAGTTATTGGGCCTAAAAAGCCCATTATTTTTGGTTTGCTTAGCAAGTAAAAATTTATTATTCATGTACAAGCGTAATACAACTTTCAGACTTTAACGGCGTACCTCTACGCCGTTAACTATATGGACCGGTTTCTGTTTTTTTTTTTGGTCGAATGGACCGGTTTCTGTATGATCGTTGATTACTGGTAAGCTTAAAACGTCAGCGTTTAATAGTCTCACTGTTTTGAATTGATCATATTGATATGACAAATAACAACCCAAAAAAGGTCATGGTTTTCACTTTTTTTCCTTCATGGATCGATTAGATTATGGACATTGCGTTATATAGTTAAGTTCTTATATATATGATTTGATATTTTCCAAATTTAATAATTTTTAATTTTATATATAAATTTAATAGGTTATCAGATAATCATTTTTTACGTGACGCTAAAATCAACTGAATTAGGAAAAAAATTGAATAAATTGTATACATCTATAAAAGTATATAATTGATTTCATTAACAAAACATAACATATACACACATTATTATGCTAACTATAATAAAAATTAATACAAAATAATTTCCAATAACTATT